TGAAATATTTTTTGAATATCGTGAATTTGATGAATTAAAAATGATTTCCATTAAATTTCATATTAATTAACCTTAATTAATTTTTAATGCATTTTCCAATTAATTAGTTAATTGTACACATACATTCATAAATAGCCGACATTTTTGTTTTCATATTGCTTATAGAAATTTATTGATCAAATTCATAAAAATTTATAGAATTTATTAATAAAAATGATACTTCGATTAAAATACTTTTCAATTTGTTATTTGTTAAATATCATAAATTTTCCAAGTTATTTTATAATAATTTATAAATAATAAAAATAAGAAAAATAAAAACAATTATTTTCAATTAAAGTTGTGAATAATAGGAAATATTTGTTATAGGGTGTCATTAAAATGACTAAAAATGTCAATATTTTTTGCAATTTTTTTTGAATTATTACAAACTCTAAATAATTTAAGTACACAATAAATTGTTTGCAAGAAAATCATGATTTATTAGAGTCATTTTATAACTTAACTAATTCAATAAAATATTTATGAATTTAATTTTAATAAAAGCGTTCTATAAATTTATAAAATTGAAATAGAATTTTTAATTGATTTTGTTTTTAAGAACTCTCAGACACTACTGTAATACAAATATGTCATACATAACCGTTCTAAACGCTTTTATTTTTAAAACTTCTTAGTTTTAAGCACCTATACTTATGATTAAGGTGCATAATTAAAAATATGAGAGCACGTAACGAAAAAGATGACTTGGAATAACATAACAACTCCTAAATCCTTAAAGTATATACATAGATAATTCGAAAATTCAAGTTTGATAAAGAATTCGATTAGATTTTAATTTTGTATGAATGGTTTTGAAGTGACCGAATGAGATTTTAATAATATTTTTAAAAATAAATATAATTTTATTTTGATATTTTCAAGAGATTATAATATTAATTAATTTTTATAGATTATATATAATTAATTTCTGACTAAAGCACTACAACAACTTAGAATTACTTGGGAAGCGGCGAGAATATTCAAACTTTAATTTTGATCGGTTTTCACATTGACATTAAATATTCAAACTTGAGAAATAATTTTCCCATCATACAATCATCGTATACCCACCAACAGTCACAGATAAATTAAAATTTGTTGTTCCATTAGTAAGTCATAAAAGAATACAATATCGTAAATTTAAAAATTTTATGGTATAATAGAAATAATGCCGAAAATAATGTAGAACTTCTTACTATGCTTTTATTGATTCCCTTCTGTAATGTTGTGCTCCTTATATACGGACTGATCTAATTGGAGTATAGCCCTTTTTTAATAATAAAATTTACGATTTATTTTAATGCAATCGTAATAACCTCTTTTTAGAAAATTATTGTGATGGTCAAATAGATTTATTTAACTACATATTACTGGAGTCATCATTATTAAATAATTTAATCGGATTGATGTCCATTATTGTCGATCAAAAATTTATTTCTTTTTCCATGTCAATAATTTCCAAAAATTATGAAATATTTTTATGAAACTTATATAAAAGAACTAAAAAAAACCAATAAAACAAAAATGTTCCAAAAAAAACAAAAAACTTATGAGAAAAAATCAAGTACATCTTACATCATCTTTTAAAAGGATTTTTGTCCTTGATTTCTCTTCATAAAAATTCAACACAAAAAAGGAAAAAAAAAAACAATGCACATGCCCCTAAAATTATAATAACATAAAAAAATCTGATGTGTTCAACACATAACCGGAGATTTGAACAAGATTTTAAAAATTTTCCCTAAACACTTGTTTCAAATAAGAATGCTAGCACACTTTTAGTTAGAAGCGTGTACCTAGGAAAATGTAAAATCGACCAACAGTGAAAGTTTACTTTCCAAGCCGTGATCCCCGAAAAATTGGTTGGTTATTTTCAGGAAATCGGTTGATTATTTTTCTATATACAAGGAAAACTCGGTCTGTATTGGAAGTACTATTGCTTGCACACCTGATTTCCTTAGAGCATTTCCTCAGTTTTGTCAGAGAAAGCTTATACAAGTATATTTTTAAATATTTTCTAATTCAGTCGTTGACGCCAACTTACCTAAAACGTTATTTAATCCATCACATGGCTTGATAAACTTAGCTATAAATTTTTTTCCAAATGGCATGAGTTGAGTCCAAATAAAGACAAAAGGGAGTATACAAAGGCAAACCGACACATCAATATCCCTCCAAAAATAATTTTTTTGCGTATCTGAGTTATCGCTTGAAGAAATACATACAAGTTTATTGAAAATTTCTGTTAGTACCATCATAATACCTCACTTGTTATATCCAATGTGGTTTCTAAAAATAAGTTTCGTTTATTAACCTACAGGAATTTTTTAAAAAGTGAAAAGAGAAATCGATCTTAGCTGAGTACTTGGATGTGGGTTAAGTTTATATTTTATATATATATAAAATATAAACTTCAAGTTTCCTTGAATAAAAGGTAAAAGATTTTTAAATATTAATCTTTCAAAGTATTTTTATATATACGCGATACAAAGGGATTAAGAAGGCAATATGACGCAGACGGTGTTTTCCTAAAAGGTTATATGTTATTAAAATTTCCGTTTGTAATATTGAGAAAATTTCACTTATAACAGTAAGTTTAAATTGCAGCTAGAGAGAGGAAATTCACAAATTTATGAATTTCATTTTTATGACATCACAGATGGATATTGAACCATTTCATGTAGGTTCAGGCTAACAATATCTCCTGGGATATTTACACATTTGGGTGTGGCCTCAATAATTTGTCAGATGACAAAATATGCATTTTGCAGTTTTGCTTCGAAAAAAACTGTACTAAATTGAAATCTATTACAATCTTGCTTCAAAAAGTTAGATGAAAGAGGGCGCGTCATTAAATCAGAAATATTTTTTTTGATAAGCACGCATAACAGCTTTAGACATGTAGGGTTCGTGTCTACAGTAAAACTGTAAATCTTTTAGATTCTTAATTGCTTCAATAGCTGAATTCAAAAATATTACAATAAACTTTTAGTTTGCTGTGATATAAAGTACAATTTTTGTCCATCCCCTATAACATGAATATGTAAGTTACTATTTTCCATGTCTTTCCTATGGTATATGATACCCTTTTTGTATATAAAAGATTTTGTTTCAATAACCTAATAACTGACCTTTTTAATATCCTATAGTAACATAGAACAACCATAATTATTTTGGAATTTTCCACTACTTTTTGTTTTCAATATTTATGCATTAGCTGTGCATTTACAAATATTTTTCTTTATGAAATTCCAACAGCAATTAAAGGTACACGTACTTTCAAATATAAAAAATATTATTTCTTTTTTTTTCTTTGAATTTATTTAAATATAAGGGTCATGATCCTTTATGAATAGATACAACCGCATAAGAACCTACATATACCAATAACAATATTACATAGAATTCATTCATATAATATGTAGTATGCCATTTATTGTATTGTCATAGGCAGGCTCTTCTTATACCATTAAAATATCGAAACGAAACATACGAGTGTACGGCATATAATATATAAATACATATATCTGTATTGTATGTAAGTATATATGCGATAATTCATATAAGTACATACCATCCCTAACATAAGAACAAAAAAAAAGGGAAAATTTACAAAACAAAAAAAATTAAGATCATTTTAGTTTTTATCCCTTTGCTATATAACAATTAGTTCAGTCGATCTTTTGCCCTTGCAACTGTAAGTAAGTACATAAATATATTGAGATTCTATTCAAAAATATATAAATTTAAAAAGTTTGTATAAATATTTTGTAAAGTACATATACAAAAAAGAATAAAGGAATTTGTTTTACAACGTGTCCTTTTTTATATATAGATAAATTGCAGACTATCGGGTTAGACCTAATTAAAATTTAAATTTTTTTTCCACATTCAGTTCGGTAACCAAGAAATTTGAGGCATGTAAATTTTTTAAATAAGAGGTACGATTGTAATTAAAGTGCTGTAGTGGTTAAGAAAATTCCGGTTATATATGTAGTAGTTGAAGTGATCTCAAAATCAAAAGGAAGATCAAGAGTTTTATGCCAAAGGAAACTATACACCCCATGGCATATATCGAACGCCAACTTGTACACTCAATATATAGAAGAATTCCAATATTATTCTTAAATTTTAATAACACAAAATTAAAATTTTTAAAATCAAATACGTACCTATCTTTGGTATTCATAGAGAATGTCTCTTGAATGGCGCTTGAATGGCATGTAAATGTTGATTTAAATTATAAACTAAACTTATTGTAGTAAACACATACATACAAACACTGACAAAAATTAATTGTTTTTATTGTTGTAAATTCATTCAAAAATTAAAAGTATTCTACATTTTAAAGCGACAAAATACTAAAAAAAAATTGTAGTTTTTTTCTCTTATTATTTGTAAAAATTTTTAAATTTAAAAGCCCATAAATGGAACTATGAAAAATATGAAATCATAAGTATCCGAATTATAAATTGAAACTCTTTTGTCTGGCCATCAATTGAATTTAATTTACTGCGGCAATATTTATGAATATTTTTTTCTCTTACTGTCTCTCTATTCTTCTTTAAAATATTGTAAAAATTCTCTCATATAGTATTTATATTTACATACCTACATAGAAAAAAAACTAATTTCATTCAATTCTGTTGTTAAATTTTTCAAAAGAGAAAAAATTATTGAAATATTTAATTTAATAAAAATGGCGATATTTATATTTACATACATGCATACATAATTGATAATAATTAAGTATAAAATAATCTAATTGAATTTCGTACACAATGAAAAAGAAATGGTCAGATTTTGGTAAATTTCGCAAAATATCGTAAATTAAAATTGATTTTGTAGCCAAAAATATTTCAAAATCCTTGAAGTTTACTCAATATACTATTCCATATAAGTATTATAGAGCTTCTTAATTGAAATTTAATAATTTATATTTTTATTTTATTTTACAGAATGAATCCTTTAATAGTTTTATTGTATATTGGCATTGCAGCAATTATAAATGCAACAATTGCATATGGATTTATAGCAGCTACAGATGCACATAAATGTAAATATCTTAGAGTTGAAAAGAAATTAAAAGTTCGATGTTATCGTATGGATTTAAAAGATGTTCCACAATATTTGACATCAAGTATTGAAGTAAGTTTACTCAAATAATTTTTATATTTTTTATATACATATATTGCGTCTTTAAGTATTACATAAGTATTATTGAATTTTTTTTTTGTGATACACCAACTTAAAACTTTTATACGTGTCATCCATCCCAATTAAGTTCAATTATTTTTAATTAAAAGATTAAAAATAATTTGTTTTTCTTAATTTGCTCTTTCAAATATTTGAAAATTATTTCTTTAATTTAAAATAGATAAATCAATATTATATATTGTGATATAAAACGAATTAAAATCGGATAAATTTTTACAATAAATTGAAATTTAAGAATTTATTAGGTCAAATACAAAAGCAATTAGTTTATTTCACCAGACGTTGATTTCTCATACTGTTTTTGAAGAAAAGAAAATATTTTTCATTTTCTTATTAAAAATTTTCGTTTTTTAATTTATAAAAAAAAGAGAATAACTGAATATTACTCAATATTCCTCAATTGTTTAAATTGTAAATTGTACAGATATAGTAACATCGCAGCTTGACTAGCATATACGGTTCTTTGAGGGACGCGCTTCTGATGAATTCAAGTACTCTGAAAAAGTCGACAAGTCCTGCGGATTGAGTACATAGTTACCCAGTATTTCCCTACTCATGCGGTTAAGAGTACCAAAATCCTCCAGAAACTGAACTGAGGTATCCTCATTCTCCCCACGAAATCTTGCAAGTGCTCTCTCTGCCTAGGCCCTATTTCTTGCCCAATTCCATGACCTTCCCAAAACACCCTGTTCTGTTAAAGCTCCGGAAGACCATTCCAGTACTCCGAACGGTGCCTCTTCATTTCCTTTTTTTAATTCTTTTTTAATTTCAATTAGTTTAATTTTCGAGTCATGTTCTCGAATTCAAATTCTATATTATAGTCTTACGATTAATTAAATATTAAATATTTAAATTTTAAAACATTCAATGCAGAAATTAATAATCACATTCTATTATCAATTGCTTTATATTTTTCTTAAATCTTGTATAACACTTTATTATATATAGTTATTGTAAATACCCAGCATATTATAATTTAGATCTTATTTAATATAATATGGATATGCATAATTAATTTCACCGATATAACTTTCCTATAGTCCTTCAAATAATAATAGCACATATTTATCTTAAGATTGTTAAAAACTTTCAAAACTTTCACTAAAATATTTTCAGAAGTATATAGATCCATAAATATTTAATATAACCTTAATTTTACAAAGTTTTTCATTACCTAATTATAAATGTAGGTGTTCAGCATAATTATAAGAATTTTTTATTATAATTTATTAAAATTTTATTCATATAATTAATTTAATCTATTATAAACACAATAGTTTGTATTTTGACCCATTTAAAAATTTGAATAATTTCTTTAAACTATGTTAGAGCAGTGATTAATAGACCTATTTAGAAATTTAACAATTCCTTTGAAAAACCTTCATATTATTAAAGATAATTTTCATCTTCAAGGTAAACCATTAAATATTTTCACAAAATTAATCACATACTTTCACATATACCTTAAATTTTTGTATTATGTAAGTTTTCAAATGAAATCATTATAAATCATGATGAAATCACAAATCAAAACTATTCTTGGTTTGTCCTTAATTAAAAATTTTTAATAATAAAGAAAAAAAGACATAGCTAGTACTTAAAAGATTGCTTTTTCCTATATCCAAAATAATTTAAAGTATAGAAAAAAAACAGATGATTATTTTAAAGTGATGTAAAAGACAAGTTAAAATCAAAATGAAAAAGAAAGAATCAGAAAAAAATCAAGGAAATAGAGAAATATTTTTAATTTTACCCCGAGGATTTTAAGGACCTTACATTAACCTAAAAAAGAAAAATCGTTTTATCGGAAATATGTGAATTAAAAAAAAAACATTTTATAGTTCTTTCCTTTATTGTTATTAAAAATGTAACAATTAAGCCAAAGGAATTTCTTTAACTTTTTTGTAATTTTGAAAATCAAAAAGCATTATAGATCTGGTTGTATTAAAGCAATAATTATAGAAAACCATTCGGGGCTTAGAAGAATTAAGTTTAGCACTTTAAAAGTAAGAACTTTTTTAAGATCCAAAAACTAAAAAGATAAACAGGATCCTGCGCTAAGGTAGACGGCATATATTATCTGTATTGAAAATAAATTTTCTAAATAAATTTTCAATAGAAATTCAATTATTTTTGATTAATTCCATTTACCTACATGACGTAATTATTAACTACCTATATGACAATAATTAATAATTATACATTGTGAATACATTTTGAATAATTATATAATTTCGAATACGATATAATTTTAACCTTTCGAATACGAGAATGAGAATTTCGAAGTCAAAAATGAAGCATTCCCTTTCTACGAAAAAATCTCTTATTAAAAATGCCCTCAAAAACTCAACCTCACGTCTTTTAGAAATTCGCCAGTAACACCCGCCGACAACCCATCAATTAGATTCACGTAATAATATACAACTTAAATAAATGTATTAGAATTTTATTATTGTAAAATATACTTACTTCACCACAATTCAAATTGATTTCAATAAATCTAACGATAAAAATCATTTAAGAACTTCAAATTTACTTCTTAATTTCAAAATTATTACGAAAATATTATTTAATTAAATATTAATTAAAATCTATATAAAAAATACGCCAACAATATTATTTGATCTGAATTGATGAAAGTATATAATATAGTAGAAAATGATGTTCTTTTTAAACTCAAAATGGGTAATAACCTCTGATTATTTCAATTACGATTTATCAGAATGTCGTCATTTCAATTGTTTTCTTCAACAAAACTACCCGTCTATATTATGATGCTTAAAGTATATTTAAAGTTTTTGTTTTTTTAATATTGTTTTTGTTTTTAAAACTAAAATTTAAAAAGGTCATATAAGGGGGCGGTCATAAAACTTTGTAGTGAAAAATTAAATTATTGTATTCACATATAATATATGCGTAGAATACACTTCACTTGCATTATATTATGTGCATATATGTATATGTATGATATTAATAAAATAATTGGTCTCCAACAATAAAAAGTTTTAGCTGGAATGCTGCTAAGTAAGCAAAGAGGAAATCAACGTTATCATATTATAGTTTATCACAATATTTTTTACATGTTTTTCATATGCATAGTTGCTGCCGATGCAAACTGTTCGGTATAAACGGTAATTTATAAAATTAATTGGAATACACTAATAGAGTATATACTTTTTGAAGTACAATGCACCTACAATGGTATTGGAACAAAATAACAACCGAATCAAACATACTACCGATGTTAATAAATGCGAAAATTGGAAAATTACATGAGAAGAACTGCATGAGAGACGATTAATCAATTTAATATTCAATATATTTTTTAAAATTTTCATTATGTATTAATCATGGGAATTTTTAAATTTTTAATTTACAGGATTTAATATATAGGATTGCGTCTTCCGTATTATTAATATTACTAATAAGGAAGATAAATCACACAAATTGATCAAAATATAAAATGTAGAGTAAATTTACTATACAAAAGTTCATCAACGAAAATTACTCCATAAAAAAATAAATTCCGCAATATGAACAAGTAAAATTACCACGCTGCATGCAGATAATTTCACTATTATGTCGAGTGATACTTCACAATTGACACATTAATATTTTTATTATTTTCTTTTTGAGTATGAAATCGTTAGTAATGTCATATTTAAAATTTACTCTCTCATCGAATAAATTGCAAATATCCTACCTAGTATTGAGTGAAATTTACTCTACTGCGCATAATTAAAATTTTATGATTAATTTAAACGTAATGTAAATTAACTCCGACGGCTTCCAATTCCCTATGAACGTCACCATTGCGTACATACCAGGAAGCAATCAACATACTACTAAGCACTTTGTTCTGGAAAATCTATATTTGTTTAAAAATCTATGTGTTTTTGCTTAGCAAAACTTCATAGATGATAATGCCATAATAAGTTATATCAACCCTTTATTGTACGAGTATATGTTGGACTTATGATCTATGGTAACCAATAGTTTTCTCTATAAATTTGTTTTTATTCCTATATGGCCTATTATGGCCTATTCTGTAATAACTCTCAACCCAGTTTTTTCTATAGTGTGTATTGCACATTTTTCAATGTCCGATAAAAATTATACAATTAAATTAATTTAATTCCGAGAAAACTACTGATTTTAAGTTTCTATATTTTATTTTGCTATAGAAAAGTTGAATTGACATTGGTTTTTATAGTGACTGACGTTGTTTCTATAAGATGAATTTAAATTTAAGAAATTATTTATCTTGTTGTATCAAAGTTAAAATTTTTGAAAATTTTATCATTTTCAATATACACAAAAGTTTTATCACTTTTCTAATTATTTCAATACAAAATAACTTTTTTCAAATTTTATATTTTTTCCAGACTTTCCGTAATAATTTCCGTCTATGCTATGTACATACTCACAAATATGATGTTCAATTATAATATATAAATATCCCTGACTAGAAGAATAAATATAAATTATATCTATAAATATAATATTATTAAAATTAAAATATAGATGTGCAATGAAACATAAAATTTTAAAAGTGTACAACTACAATGCGGTAGGTACAATTGATTGTACATAATTTGTTATACAAACATACATACATGGAAAATGCTATACAAATTCATTTGATGACCAAAACTATAAAAAGTGGTATATTTAAAATTGAAAACAATAACAGAATTAAAGGGGAAAAACATTTTTGTTTTTATTATTTCAAAAATAAAATCATTATTAGAAATGAAAACATACTCAAATGTTTATGAAACCACCACATATACCAAATTGGTGTGTACTTATATACATATTATTTGTATAACAATTTATGAAAACAATTAAATATAGGAAATTTCCTTCATTATTCTTATTTTGAAAAAAGTTTTATAAATCAATTTGAAATTGTATAAGTTATTTTAAGAAAAATTCTGTCTTTTATGTTTTTTCTTCAATTGAATGGGTTCCATTTGAAAGCATAGCTAGGAAATTTATAGCAATTATTTAAGTTTTATTACAAATTGGTATCATATTTTTGTGAATCTATATATGTACATACATTGTTTTTTTATTTAAAAATAATGAATTCTTTCTTAATTTCGTGTAGATTAATTGTAAATTATTTGAAAAGCTTTTGTTGTATAAGAATGCTTCCGTAATTATTATACGGATCTCAATATATGCATCTATTAAAAAGTAATAAATTTTAAGGAACTAAAATTATTATTCAAGAAATGTCTAGATGTGTAAAATTTTGTGATAAATTTGAGTTTTAACTTAAAAATAATGGAAATTTAAATTTTTACATAAATGAGAATTTTCGAATAATATGCGGCTACTTATATTTTATTACAAAATTTTCAAAAATTTTTCTATAGCACATTATGATTTTCCCAAAAGAATTTCTATAACTAGATTCGTTGATGAATACAGAGCTAAAATATAAAATATTAGAAAAATTGTTTTTAGAAATAAACGAAAATCTAGTTATTTTTAGATATTCAGTTCTTAAGTATAGTTTAATTAAATGACAGATGAAATCTATTATCCTAAAAGTTAATCAATTCTTTATATCGCCAAAATAAATTTTATACATAAAATTCCTTGGAAAATTCAGTCAAATTAGAAATTCAGCTGTAAACTGAAATAAATAGTTGAAGTTATCACACACAAAAATTGTGCAATTACGAACAAACTAAAGGCAATTTTCATTAAAAATTCGGCATTGTTTGTTCACAGTATCCGATTTATTCTATGATGACAATGTTACAATTTATTCTTTAAATATTAAAATTTTAATATTTCTAAGTGTTTTGTAATATTTAACACTATTTCATTTTTACATTTGGTGTTTTAAAAGATTTTTCCTCTCATACGAACTCAATTAACATAATCTCAATATTGGTTTATAACAGGAGAATTTTATTTAAATAAAAAATAAATTGCATACCTTCACTTATCACAGACTCTTAAATTTTTTCATATTTTTGTCCTGCCCCAAAATATATGCAATATTTATTGCATTTTCATTTATATCGTAATATTCCATATAAAAGCATTTTCTTTAAATTTTACGATATTTTCAATTACTATTCTTATATTCACTTGTGGTACTAGCCTGTATTAGCAATATAATTGAATTTTTATTTTAAAATAATATTAATTTTATATATATACAAAATATTTAATAATTATTTTTATTTTTATAATTTTAGATTCTTGATTTATCATATAATAGAATAAAAAAATTATATAAAACATCATTTGAACGATATACGAGTGTACAATCATTACTTTTATACGATAATATGATAATATCAATTGAACCCGATACATTTTCATCATTAACATTTCTTGAAGAAATCGATTTATCGAATAATGGTTTAACAATTATACCTTTAGAATTATTTCAATTACCAATGGTGCGTAATGTTTATTTAGACAGTAATCCTTTACGATTGGATAACATGAACGTGAGTTTAGTATTTTATTTTCGTTTTTAATATTATTAAATCGTTTGTTTTTTTTTTATTTTAATTAATGTATATAGGAATTAAGTACACCAATAGCTGCACCATTGGAATATTTAAATATAGCTGATTGTGAACTTCGTGATATACCTGATTTAGGTATTTTACCACGTAAGTAAAACCATAATTAATGATGCATTTTTTCACTTATTATTATATATAACTGGATTATTATATATAACAGTTATTATTATATATAACTGGATAACCACAGTTATTAAATTTAATATGAATATATGCTTTTTTTTATTGCAGATTTATGGCATTTAAATGCATCAAAAAATCCATTGGATTTATTTTCAGTAACGACATTAGGAACAATGTGCCATTTGAAGAGTATTGATTTATATGAAACAAATATGCCATTTTGTGCCTGCCATTCATCAAATCAATATTTAAATTTTTTAGGTGTTAAAACAAATTATAATTTTAACTGTGATAAAAATGGTAAGGCAAATTTTTTTTTTCTTCAAATATAATTTAGAAAATTGGAAAGCGTAATATATTCTCTCTCTCTCTCTCTCTCTCTCTCTCTTGCAGATAATAAAAATAATATAGATCCAGAATTATGTCCTAATTTAACAAATTATACAATAATGTCAGAAGAATTTAAAACATGTAATTCCATACAAAAAGCATTTCTTGTTATAACACCAAAAAATATTTATTGGTTAATTGGAGCTGGTATTGCTGCAATATTAATATTATTAACATGTAAGTTATCCTTTATATATTATGTTATTTTAATTTTAATTTCCAAATTTAATATAAAAAAATTATTTTTAGGTTTATACTGTTGTATTAAATCGATACGAAAAAAATATAAAAAACCGAAACCTAGACAAAATTTAAGTCGTGTAGGCCGATATCATAATAGAACTGATGATGAATTATTAACAAGAACCAAAGACGATAGTAATTATGAATAATATTTAATGATAATTTAAATTTATGTTTATTTTTTTTTTTTTTTTGTCAATTATATTCTAATACAAAATAGTCAATTAAATTATAAGATTATAAGAATTTTTTTATTCGTATATTATGTAATAGTATATAGAATATATTTCATCAATAAAAAATTATCATAAATATAGAGAACGAAATTATTTATGAGGTTATTGTAACACCTCTAATATTATGTATAATATAACCTCAATTATTATTGCAAATTCTGTAATTTAATTAGATAGTCACTTATATTAAATTTTTAAAAAATTATATTTATATGCTTGAAAACTGTTCTACAATTCAGAATCATGTACGTTTTAAAAGTACTACTGAATTTTTTTTTTTAATTTTCGAAGCATTGTAATTAATCAAAAAGTTAAAATCAGAAAGCAGAGAATAAATTTTGTTGATTTTGGAAAATTATTATTAAAATTTATTATTAAAAGTACCTACTTTTTCGATTTACTTATTCCATTTTTAAATTAGTATTAATTTCACTTTTGATTACTGCCTTAATATGAGTTGAAAATTATAAATTTTTTTTGGTACACAAACTATTACTGACACAACCTGCTACAAATAATTATTCTCCCAATAAATGCAAAACAATTGTATATGTTTTGTAGTTGCTTAAGATCTCTTAAATAAATTTAAAAGCATTTTTCTCATTTTTATTTTCACAATATTGCCATATGGTTCTCTGATTTATTGATGAAAATAATATTCTATGTATACACAAAATTACTTATTGGTTGTAATATTTCTAATTTTATATAAAAATTATTATATAATATAAGATTACATTTATAATTAAATAAAACTAAAAATAAATTCTTTCTTTACAAAATTTTCTAAAATAAATTTAGTACAATTTATTTGTTTTTTTCAATTCTAATTTATAATTTTTATGTATGTATAATTTAGTCAAATTATTCAAAAAATTTAAAATTTTGTAAATTTTTTAAAAATTTTTGCTAAACTGACAATAATTTTTTTCTCCTATTTGGCTTTTGCATATATTTAATTTTAATTTAAATCGCTAAATTAATGTTAAAAAAAAATTAAAAAAAAAAAATCATAAAGTCTGAATATTATTATATAAGTATATAAAAATTAAATAATATAAAAATAAATTCTATTTTGTTTGTATTTTAATTATAATTGAAATTTATTATTTCTTTAAACGCAATTATTAAAAAAAAATTAAGAAAATATACACAAGTATTCAAATATTAATTGTAAATAATAATGCCAAATAATTTTTTTTTTAGTACAAATATTTTACAAAAACATTAAATTATTTTTAATTATTATAAAATTGGTTTCATTATTACAAATTAATTATTAAAAATAAATAATTTATTTAAGAACATATTTATATATAAGAAATGTTAATTAAAATCCGAATTAAATTTTATTAGAAATTGGTGTTATTTAAAGAAAAATAATGTTATGTAATTGTATAAAGTTATGTTTAATTAGAATATTAGTTAATTAATTTAATTAGAATATTAGTTAATTAATTTGATCCAAACAATATGGTCTAAATTATAAAGCAATAATTAAATTGGTATTATACATTGAATTATACAGAGTTTCGCATAAGGTGACAAGTAATATCAGGGATGATTTTTTTTTGATCAAATTCTAAGAAAATGTATTGTACGGGTATTGGAGGAGTTGACGCAAATATTGTTGAACAGAAAATTGTACCAGATTTATTCTGCAATAAAAATAAATGCTTTTAATTTCGGAACCATGTGACATAAAATAACAACCAAGGGCTTGTTTTAAATTATAATTAATTGCTCTTTATTTACCGTCTAACAATTAATTTGATTTGAGTCAAAGTTTTCAAGGCAAAGCTCATTAAAGTCAGAATTTTGATTTCTTTTTTTTTGAATTTTTGAGTTGTTATTCGATTTCTCATAGTTTTGTTAGTAAAATGACGAAAATATTACAAATGCTAAATTAAGAATATTAAGTGTATGTTATGTTTTATAAACAGGCTGTATCTTGAAAACAAATATACCTGCATCCCCTACCTACACATTTTTTTGAAAGAAATTGATTGAAAAATCCATCCTGAAATTATTTGCCACTTTATACTATACACCTAGTATAAAAAAAAATTTACTTTTAATTAATTACTTTTTTTTTGTGTTTATAACATTTTAACAAAATATTTAAAAAATTTTTGGGATTCTTTAATATTTTCATTAATTTTCTTTTGATTCAATAATTTTTGTCTTTATATATGAAAACTATTCTAATATAAAAATTTATTAAATTGTTTTCTCTTTTTTATAAATATTTTAAAATTAATATATAGGTGGACTAAATTCTAGTGGGAACAGTATACTTGGTTCGTCTTACACATTAATGTGTAATGTAGATCAATCATAAAACGAAAACCTGTTTTTTTAAATTATCCAAAATAAATGTTAAATAAAATCAATTTTATTTTTTCAAATATTTTCAAATTAAATTTAATTTTAATTTATTTTTTTCCCTTAAAAAATTATGCTGAAAAACATGTGTGCATTGTGAACTTTTGCTTCTATGTGGGAAATATTAATGCAATTGTAAATTATAAAAAATAATTAAATTTAAAATGAAACTGAAAACAAGAAATATTAAGATATTGTTAAAATAATTATGAAAATTTTTTAAAAATTAAATTTATGAATAAATAATAAAAACAAATTTGTTTTGTGTCAATTAATATAAAAATTTTAATGTATAAATTTACAAAAATAGTTTAAAAAAAAATTTAATATAGAAAAAATTTATTAAAATTTATTAAAATTTAATAAAAATAATTTATGCTAATATTGATGTTTGAAATTAATTATAAAACACAAAAATAATGTTATCGCTTTATATTTTGAATTCTTATTGATTGTTTTACTAAATAATCAATAAAAATACTATATACTAATTATTATTATAATAAAACAAAAATTTAAAGAAAATATAGTTAAAATAAATTAAAAATTAAATAATATAATAAATGTTAATTGCGTTATATTAATGTTAATTTATAGGATAGATTGTAATTTACAATTGTAAGAAAATCATAAAATTCGCGTATTATTTTAGTAATTAATGAAAAAGAAGTAATGTAAATATTAAATTAAAATTTGTAAATAATTTTAAATGATTGTATTATCTATATACACATTATATATTAAAAACAAAGAAAAACAAAATTAAATATTATATTTTAAAAATTATATAAAAGTTTTTCATTTTTAAAAAAAATTTTTCAATTTTTAATTTAAATAGTAAAATTATAGCATTCAAAAATGAATGGTTCTAAAGTTTTGACTCGTAACATGCCTTGTACTCGTATAACACTTTTATTTTTAAGTTGCCATCTTGATTTAATAATAATTATGCAGTAGAAAATTATATATATATTGCAGTTTTTATCTTAATATAAATAATGCCTTATTTTTTAAACCACAATGAACATTAAAGGGCTATGGATTCCAAGTACAATAGTATAGATTTTGGTAAATTCCGGCATAACAAATTATATGTTTTTCTAATATTTAAATTATTGTCTTACATGTTTAATTACAATTTCCAGCTTAAGTTCAATCCTATAAAACCGAAATATTATAATCATTCTCTGTAATTTAATTTTACATAATTATTAGGAATCTTAAAAAACTTCAATAAAAATCAATAAAATTCAATTAAAATATCTTCAATTTACCTATTTAGTCCTAATATAAAATATGTATAACAATTTTGTAGATTATATATCACTTATTAATTTTAGCAATCTTTTTGCCTTAATTTCTGAATTGCTTTAAAATATTTCGTAATAATAAAATTTATGTCAAATTTTTCGATTTTCAATCTCAATATATTGCTCTTTTATTTTCCACTTGTAATATTATTATTCACTTCAAACTCGCCATAAGATGTTATACTTCACCTTCTGTATTAAATTGTTGATAATGCCCGGGAACAATAAGACTTATTATTTATAAAAAAACAGCCTAAAAAATAACGCTATAACAACACATTTAATTTTTTTTTTTATTAGAAATTTTATTAAATCTTTCGTTTTTGTTTTTTAGAAAAATATTTTATTTATAAAAATTTTATTATAATTTCGAATAAGTAGTAGATATTAATTAAGTCTAAATTATGGTAAGCTTACAGTAAGTAAAGGTATAAAAACATTATACATACATATATTACAACAAAAATAAATTTAATAACTTAATTTTTAAAATAAACATTTTGGCATTAATTGAATTTAGTATAAAAATTTGTTCTAAATAGCCGATTATCGGAATTAAATTGTTTATCGAAATTTATAATTAATAAAAATTTTTTTATTTCTATAAAAATATAAATAGTAGTACAATAATTAATAAAACGACACCGAAAGCGTATAACCAGATTTTTTTCTAAAATAATCGCAATAATTAATTAATTTTTAATTAAAATTAGAAAAATGAAATAATTTACTTTAACAACTTTTCTTTGAATTTGTCGAGCATCATCTAATTTTTCCTCACCACTTTTAACATCTTCACTTGCTTGTGTTGCATTACGTTCTATCACATTAATTAAATCACTCTGCAAATATTTTATAATTAATAAAAATATAATAAAAAGTTTTATAATTTTTTTGTGACTTACTTGCTCTGCAACTAAATTTTGTATTCTTATAAAAAGTGCATGAACATCTTGTATTGATTTTTCAAGTTTTATTAATTCTGAATGCCTATCCATTAAATCTTTAAGTTTTCTTCTTTCATTTTCAGTATCTAATAGAATCTAATAAATTATACAATATTTTTTAATTTAATATTATTCTGAAAAATTAATAAATTTTCGAGTAAATTTTCTCAAATTAATTACTTACATTGTCTACGAAAATATTTGTATTGTTGGTAGCTAAAAGATCTTCAACTTCTTCTTCAGTAATATTCCAACTGACTGTGAAATAATTATAAAAAGAAATTGTCATCTTTATTATACAATAGTTTACCAAGTTTTAAAGATTTTAATATTAAAATTAAACGTAAATGTTATTGAAACGCTTTGAACTTTTAAAGGAATTTTCGTAATTTCAAATGATTTCTTTATTTTGGGGATTTTTATAAAATTTTAAGATCCTGCAATAACCATTACAATTTGCTTTATGTAAGCACATTTCACCGATGTCACATTTGAGCCGATTTATAAAATTGTTTTGGAGTATTTCATAATTAATTAATGGTAAACTTGCAGCAAATTAATTTTAAAATTTTAACTCAATTGAAATAACATATGAAGTATTGCCACATTATAATTTTTTTTAAGGTATCAATAAGATATCAAATATTTACTTACTTATTTTTGCATTATGTAATAATTGTTTTTTTAATTTTGTTTCATAATTTGTTAAAAAATTCTCATTTTTATGCCATATTATATTATAATATTTTTGAAGTCCATAAAATAAACCACGTTTTATTCTTGATTCCAATGTAAAATTCTTATCATCTGGCAAGTTTATTTTTAAAGTATTAAATGTTGTCATTAATTTTTGACCCAAACTTAAATTTTTATTTCTCAATGTATCCAATTCATTCTCTAAAAATTAAAATATGATAAAAATATAGTGTACTATCAATTTTTGGAGAATTCAATATTCAAACTTTGAAAAATTTAAAACTTACCATTAAAATGTGGTAAATTTGTTTGTTGTGTCATTCGAATCATTTCATCTAAATTCGATTCAAGTTGTTTTAATTTAAGTCTTATGTCAGAATACTGAAAGAGAAAGAAAACAAAAGAAAAAATCAAAATTATTTTTTATAAAACTTTTCTGAAATGTTATTCTATTGTTGTAGAATTTTAGAAAATAGACAATTTTCATTTGAAACATATTATAAGAGAGAGCATTTCTTAGTTATAAAATTGTCATTGTCAATGTTTATAGTGATACCTAGAAAACAATAATTTTTGCAATTACACGACGAACTACTTTTTTCGAGGAGCGCTAGTGAATAATGCGCTATAGTGTTATTACAAAATTTGTCTTCAGTATATTACTATAAACTATATACACAATGATTATACTTAGCTTAGCTTCTTATATTGCAATGCAAGGTAAACTTTGAATTTTATTATAAAATTCATAATAATTTAATAATTTTTTTATTATATACAAGTATTATAGGTGATATTAGATGATATAACCTGTTCAAAAATAAATTGACTAAATAAAGTTATAACAATTTGGAAGAAAGTTTACTTCTTATAATTGCATGTATACATAACATAAATAAGATATAATTTAACGCTCGGCAGTATGAATTGAGTATGACAACAATTTTTTTTAAATTATTTGTGTTATTGTTCTTTCAGACCGCATATCAAATTTAAAATTTTAATAATACCCGACCTACCCAAAAAATATTTTTTTATAAATTAAACTAATTTTAAACAATGTTATTACGTCAGTTGTAAGTGAATTCAAAGTATATTTAGGTCATACAATGTAAATTCTTCAATTTTCAAAAATCTAGTTTATAAATTTCTATAAAAGAAGCAAAAAAATAAAAAATCATAAGATATGCATAATTGAACTTTTTTTTTTAAATTCGCACTCAAAATTTTCATTTTATGTAATAAAAAAATTTTCATTGTTTTTGTAACCGCAATTATTAAGGTGTAATTTTAAATTATTAAAATATTATTTTTGATATACATATGTACAATCCTACAGAAATAAGAAATATTGATATTATCACAATAAATGTATTGCAATGTAATCGAGCTTTCGTATTACATATACAAGTTTGATAATAATAATTACCATAACAGTAAATTAAATACAGACAATGTAAACAAAAATATTGAATTTTAAAATAAGCTGTTATTGTTTTTATTGTTGTTTTTGTTTTTTGTTTCTTAATCATGTCAATAATTGAATATTATTGCTGCATTCATAATTGTCATCTATCTGCACTGCAAGTATTACGAACTAAATTCTTTATAATTTTTCCTTAAATTATTGAAAATTTATGAAAATTAATATGTAGTTTACTGTGCATGTGCACGATAATTTAAAGAACACAATTGAATATTTCAAAAAAATTTTTGCCTATATCGATAGGGTCTGTAAGGCAAACCATCTATCCTACATTTTAAAGTTTTGAAATAATTTGGAAGTAATTCGAAAGTACAAGTTCCCTGTAGTATTCAATACAAATATGTTGATTGTAAATTCAAAGAATAAGTACTTTAACTTATTCAAACAATCCCAATACAATTGTGTTACGTGTATTGTAGTTTTTTTTATTAATAACAAAAAGCTGTAAAATTTTTCATTATGTTAGATAGAAGGTTTTCTCTATAAGTCCTTATTATGTGAGGTAACAAAATTGCAGCATTAAAAATTTTCATTCATTTAAGGTTTTTATCTAAAATTTAAGTTGACTGTAATATTGCGATGAAAATAATAATGATTTTGAAGAATTTCAATTATGTCAATGGAATACAAAAAAAAAAAATTAAAATTAAATTAATTTTAAGCAATTTATAGTAGTTCAAATTTTTATTTGGAATCACTCAACTTGCATTATTGCATAAAATTTTAATTAAGTAAAATTTCTTCAAAATACTAAACTTATTTATGTACTTACAGATTTAATTGCAAAAACATGATATGAATGCGATGATAATGGTATGATTAACAAAACTGACGGGGGATTACAAAGAAATGAAAAAAAAAAATTTACTAAAATTTAGTTAATTTTTTTATGTTTTAGAAAACAATCTGAAATATTTTAAAAGTATTTGGGAATAATATTATGCGCTGGACTCAACAAAGACTTCATTCAAAATCACTTCATTTGTCTATTAATTGAATCTATACAGTTTTGAAGATTTTATACTGAATTTAAGAAATTGTGGTATAATATTGCAGTTTTTTTGGTTAATTTTCATAATGAATTATGCAAGTTTCTATATGATTATTAACAGATCGATTATGATAAAATAATTGATAACACTTTTACTTTAAAGAAATTGTAATATTATATGAATAATTTACATAATTTTTAGATTTTAATGAGCAAATACAAATATTTGAATACAAATTGCACTTTTAAAAAATGCATTATGAAAATGCCAATGCAACGCAGTCAATATTACTAAAATATTTTGAATCAAAGTACAAACACCGCCAGTCATTATTATTATTATGTTTGATGTTGAAATTCAGTAAAAATTTATTTTAAAATTTTTCATTTCAAATTTTCATAAAAAATTTTTGTAAGTGGATTTTTGTAATAATTAAACATTTGCGTTGATAATATTCATGTGGCGCATATCATTATTATACCTCATTAGTTGCATCAAAAATTAAACAATGATCACACTTAAGTAAACAGTAATAGACTTGACAACAAACTATATAAATAATCTATAATGTATAATTAACAAATTATTCAAATTCAAATATTTGATTCAAGAAATTTTAAAAATTTTGACGTAATATTAAATAGAAAAACAATCAAATAAAACATTGTATGAGACTTCCTGATCGCAACCATAGAATTGACATTAAAAAACAGATAAACGGTTGAAATGAGAATTTTCCGAGGCTGATTTTGTTCGACCCAACTATAGACCGACTATACCTTTTTTGCTAATTGCTTGAACGTCAAACATTCACAGGGAGGAACTATATGGCGGGATGTCATTGTGCGACAGCGTTTTTTCTCTCAAAACTTAAGAAACTTCTCCTTGTGGACTGTTGAGGTTTTGAGAATAGGTCGTAATCAGGTTCGTACTTTTGTCAACATAACTGTTGAATGGTGAGACTGCGTTTGCCTAAATTTTTTTTGCCACCAGACTTTTTTAAGCCTTGCCTAAATATTTTTGCTTGTTCGAACAATTATTTTAGGGCAATTATTATAAACTCAGATCCGATAACTCGCATGATTTTTTATCTAATTGCATATATGCGGGAACGGAACATAGAGGTAATGGTACCAAAGGAATTGCAATGATCCATGGATTGCCACAATACTCAACAAGGGGGCCGGTCCCTTGCCCATATCTGTCTATAAAAATTACAAATCACCAAATTTAAAAAAAAAAAAGCTTACAAAATAATTGAAAATATTATTCAAATTTGTAATATAGAGTGACACAAGTCAATAAATACAAGTGTTACACAATAAGATAAAAAATCTTTAATTCAGATCATTAACAAATACAATAAATATGTACACTTATATAACAATGTAATAAATACGAGAAAAAAATAAAAAAACCGACACAAAAAGAGCAATATTGTTAATTTATTTAACAAAATGAAAAAAAAAAATTTTTTAATTATCATTCAATCGAACACGATTTGGAGAACATGTCAAAAAAACATAAGTACCTATAATAAAATTGTTAAAATGACAAATTGAAAAAATTAGTTATGTCATTTTTGATGTTTATTGTTTTCAACAGGAATTTTAATGTTTACAAAATAACATTGTAATTAGAAATTATGATTAACTTGTAATAAATTTAACCAGTTTCCATAACAATAATCTTCTCACCCTTTTCAATCACACGTTTAAAATTGAATATTAGAAATTCGCTTTGAGATTATTTCCTGAACTGAATTGAGCAGATAAAATCAATGTAAGTAATCTTGATGTTATTCAATTAGTCAATTTTATTGCGTTAAACTTATAACGTTAGAAGTTTGCGACCCTGATGCAGCATAATCAATTATAATAATTAATTCAGAGACACGCAAGATATATGTACATGCATAATTAAGTACATACGTATGTATATGTTTAATATCTTCGTTCTTTAGTTTACAAATTAATTATACAAATTAATTAATTAGAGTTTTTCTAATTTTAAAGTAATGATGATTAATGATTTTAGGTCTTATAAATTCTGATATGAAGTGCTGTTGGGTTTGATATGTAGCAAATTTCAAATTTGCCTTACTTACGACGCAAGCTAACTCGAAAATAATTTCGAATTTAAAAAAATAAAAAGATTATATAAAATATGTACATACATATAACAAAATGGAGAAGCATGGCATTAATTATTTATGTAATTCTAATTATAAAATTAATGTAGAATAAAAATTAATGCTTTTTTCTCCTATAAAATAAATTTGCTTGCAATTGCGTGTGCGATCTAATCTAATAATTAAAATAGAATACTTAATACAATAGAAACAAATTTTAATTCTTATTTTTAATTTAAATTCATTTAAAATTTTACTTTTAATTTTATTTTTATGTAAATATTCCAAAAAAAAAAAAAATAATTATCGGAAAGTAATATAACTTTAATTTTAATTACACACGTATCGTTTGGTTATAGTTATAATGAAATCAGTGTAATTAATTCGTATATATTTGCATTTTATAAAATTAAAATATTTTTAGAATTACAAATAATATCAAAAGCATTTAATTATGTTATAGTATATTTGAAAAAGTATTGAATTTTTAATTAAAATAATTAAATTTAATAGTCTTTAGGCATAACATGATACAATTAAGATAATGTAAAGTATACGTGCATATGAATGTATGAGGGGAAAATCGATATATAAAAAATTTAATTATCTAGTCTAAATGATTGCAATTAACTCATATTTGTCATATAATTAATTCGAGAACAAGTAATTGAATTCAATTACGTATTTGATAGGAAGGCGTCTGACGTTCATGTTTGTAAAAATACTTTTAAAAAATTTTTTTTCACAATATTTACTATATTGTGAATATTGA